GAATGCCGGATAACAGAGCTTTTACCAAATATGCTATTGGTTAACCGTTTAACCGATATAATTAGAGGAAGTTAAACAGATCATTTTAAAACACATTTACATACCTAACTTAAATCTATTGTTCAGACAGCTATACCGTTCATCTGAATATTGATCTCATTAGTGCATTTATCAAATTAAATTCTGCAGTTATTTTTTGCAAAGTTATTTGCAAAGTATTCTTCTAACACCAAATAATTAGAAGAACAGGCCACTTATTACATTATTTTTACATAAATTAATTTTGCTCATATTCATGTATGTCTTTCACAGATGTTATTTTTGTAGCGCTACAAAATTTGCAACACTACAGAAAATAGAGCGGCATGGACAGGCACATATGAACAGCCCCTTGGCTGAAGGGTACCAAAATTTCCAGGAAGGCGCACACTGAAAATATTGAGCAACAGGGTGCTGCCGCTGTCTGAATCTTCCCGAAGCTTGCCACCCCACCAACAGAGCCTGTCAATGAGCCAGAAACAGCTGATTGAGACCACCACTGCCACAGCATTCCCCAGGCCCAAGCAACCTTTAAAGTTTTGCCGTTTCCTTGATCAGCTGTTGCTGGGATCTTTGAAGGGCACGCACTCAGTCAAGGCCTGGGGAGCACTGCAGCAGCAGCATTCTCTGATTCTGGACTGTTTGCCAGCCCTTCAAAGATCCACACTTGCAGGCAGCCTGAGATCTAGTAGGGCAGCCCCCAGGCCTGGCTACACTTTTTACCAAGCTCCGAGGCTGGTGACAGAGCCACCCAAATCCTGCTGATCAGCTTGCTAGAATCTTGAAAAGGTGCAAGGGCGGTCTGGGACTGGAGATCACTTGCCTCCACAGTGTTTCCCAGTGCAGAATTGCCATTCTCAGTACATAAAAGGCACACAGGAAGCTCAGGACCAGAGCATGCTGGTAGGGCACAGATCAGTGGGATCACACAGAAGCAGCTTGCTAGAATCTCTGACAGTTTGCAGCAGACCAGATATTAGGCAACCAGCCACTCTTGCCCTCTCCTCCTTGAAGCAGCGGGTGGGGGGAGGGAAGTTTCAGACATTACTGTAACTATCCAGACCTTAAAATTGTCAAGGTGCCATAAAGAAGTTGCTGTTTCAACCAACAACTTCATGAGGGCAGATTTACCATGTTTGTGGCAGATCTGTTATTTTTATCCTTCAGCCAACTGCTTTAATGTCTGGCCAGTCATGACTTGTTGCAGGGAACTTGTATATAGACTGTCACAAATGTAACATCTGCCAGAGCACTCTAGTACAGCCTGTGCCACAGCTGCCATGGTCAGTTCCCATTCCCAAATGTAACTCCACAGTTACAGTCCTAGCCCAAAACAGACCCTGATGCCTGCACACCCTGCAGCTCTATCCAGAAGGTCATATGCATGTTGTACTCCTGCCAACACGCAGTCAAACTTGCTACTACTTCTTTGGCAAGCTAGTTCAGTTTTTATGAGGGCTGGCATGTGTCAGAGCCTAGTGGTTGAGTGCCTCGGCACAGTGGAACTTTCTAGCACAAGGCACGGTGAGATTTTGTACGAGGGAATTTCTCGGCACGGTGGAGAACCCCAGCGTGGAAAGGTTCCCGCCACTCATATGTAAATTCACACATTACTATTGGCCGGTTCTAAATTATTCCTACGTGGCAACTAGCAATTGGCTCGCTAGCCGTATAAAAGGTTGGAGCAGTTTCCGCCCAAGTTGGAGAACTCCGCGCCCATCTCGGAGTGAACGTGGCGGACTGATCAACCGCCGACGACTCCCTGTCGCCGACCGTCCCGACGTACCCCCTGTGTCCTGTATGCTTGTGTTCAGACCCGTTAGAAAGATATCTCGTCTTATCAGAGCTCCTCGATTAAACTGTAACCGAACTGAATTTTGAAGTTAACTTTCTTCCTACGCTGTACATCTCGACAGTGTAAGTAAAGCCATCTTTGTTTGAACCAGGACGCGTTTGTGCCTAATTCTACTCCAGCGGTCGAAAGTACCCATCTGTACGTTCTGGGTTTGTGGCCACAACCCAGCTGACCCTTTCCCGGATCCCCCTCGGCCCCCACAGCATGCAACACTATGCGCACACGTGACTAAGGCCCTGGCCACGAGTGCCCCTGAGCTCTGATCTCTGGTCCTGTCCCCCAACAGTTACATGGCCAATGAAGACCATGCCATGTTGGCATGAGATGTCTGAGGATCACTTACAGACTGTACACTGGTGGTCTGGGGCATGTAACATGAGCACTAATTGCTGTGAGTGCTTAGTCTTAAGTACCCCAGACAATGAAGAGTAGCAGCAGAGCTTCAGGATATGCCAGACCACCTTTGTGAAGATATCTAACTGAAATGGTCCCCATCCTCACATGACAGAGTATCAACATAAGGGCACCCTTCCTCATGGACAAGCACATCACCACTGCCATCGCCACCTGGACGTTCTCAATGCCTAGCAGTCTCCAGTCCGTCACCAACCAGTTTCATGTGGGCAAGCCCACAGCAGGAGATGCAGTACAGAAGGCATTCGTAGCTATACGGTGGGTGCTAGCACCATGCTTCACTCTCCTTGCCAACCCACAGGAGGTTGGTAGCAGAGGGAGAGTGCTACCACCCTTGTAGAGACTTTAAAAATTCTGGGCTTGCACCCTGGCACAAGCCCTCAGTCTTGCAGCCCCAACACACACCCCTGGAGGAGCCAAGCACAGTTAATAAACAATGCTCCTGTGGGACTCTGCTGCTTCCACGGCTTCGTAAGTGATGCTTAACAGTCCATTCACCCCAGCTGCAGCCTTTTCCAATTACAGCAGCCTTAAATTACACTCAGCTGATCTTTGAGCATGCACTCAACCTGAGCTTGTAGATAAGGCTAGAGATGCTGATGGGATACAAACAGATATTAATAGTGAATGAGAAGCAGATTTGCAAGGGGGATTCAAGCTATGTTTTCCAGATGATGGTATAGGACTGAATTCAAGGTAATTTGCCACTGTGATTCAGTTAGGAGAATTGGCAAAACAATCACCAGAGGCAACTCAAATTGGGCAAACTTTGGAAATGGTTTGAAATCCGCTTTCATACAGACTGCAAAGGACTTTAAATTATGTGCATGAACAATGATGACAGCACTCACTGCCAAGTCTGTGTGCACTTGGTTCTACCTCCCCGGGGCAGCTGATTTTGGTGTTAGTCACAGACTCCCTGTAGCCATGACGCAGGGGGTGAGGAGGAAAACCTTCTGGGATGCTGGAGGACCAAGCCACTCCCTGTAGTGCCAATGTGTTATATGTGGCGCTAGAAATGTCATATTGCCAAGAAGTTCCTGTTGAAAAGAGGCAACATTTCACAGCATTTTTGCCACATTTTTTGAGTGACAAACCGCTTGGACAGCTCTCTATTTGCTTTCTGCAGCACCAAAAAGACGTATCTAGCATTAGAAATGTAATGCCTG